TGCTGATGACTGTCCTATACAACATATTTGGAGTCTCGTCAGTACTCCAGTTTCTCCATTTGTAGAACTGAAACAATACTTCTGCAGATATGCAAGAATATGAATCTGCCAGTTTGGTGTAGTGGTTAAGTGCGCGGACTCTAATCTGGGAGAACTGGGTTTGATTCCCCACTCCTTCACTTGCAGCTGCTGGATGACCTTGGGCAAGCTGTAGTTCTGGCACAGTTGTTCTTGAAAAAGAGCAGTTTCTTTCAGAGTTCTCTCAGCCCCACCTACCTCACAGGGTGTCTGTTGTGGGAAGGGGAAGGGAAAGAAGTTTGTAAACCGCTCTAAGACATATAAATCCAATCTCCTCCTCTTATTCTTCTTCTGAGTTAATCCACTGAGTGTTGTCTGTTCTGACTGGTAATGACTCCCTTGGGCAGGGAAAGGTCTTCCCTAAAACCTCCACCTGTGATGCTTTTTAAACTGGTGATACTCAGGACTGGACCAGGGATCTTCAGCTAACTAGGTTCTCTACAGTTGGACCAGAGGCCCTCCCCACTGATGTAACTGACAATAAGAACAACAAATAAATGAGGCAAAAAAGACTGCATGGGAAATAATTGGGATGGAAAGTAACCATCTAGGTAAAATAGTAAATGTCAGCACCTAGGAAGGGGGATTGTATCAGAAGTAGAGCCCTGATGGCCCAGGCTGACCTGGTCTCATCAGCTCTCAGAAGCTAAGCAAGGTTGGCCCTTGTTAGCATTTTTCTTAGTCTTTGTGTGTGCGTGCGTGCGCACTCGTGTCCTGGTGATTTCTGGTGACCCCTAGTGGGGCTAGGACATTTTCAGAGAGGTGGCTTGTATTGTCTGCCTCTGTGTCCTGGTATTCCTTGGAGGTCTCCCTTCCAAGTACTTGCCACAGTCGGCCCAGTTTAGCTTCCTAGATCTGACGAGATTGGGCTTGCCTGGGCTATCTAGGTCAGGGTGCCCTGGTTAGCGTTTTGACAGGCAACCGCTAAGGAAGCCCACAAAAGCAGGCAATGGCAAACCACCTGTGTTTGTAACTCTTGCCTTGAAAACTCTCCGGGGTCTCCATAAATCAGGTGCAACTTGATGACCTGGTCCACTCCCATCAGAAAGAGGGGAAAAATGACTACAGTGAGTTGGAATGATGTATGTAGGGGTTATAAATTATTGGAAGACAAATCCATATTTGAAAAGCTATTGAAGGTTCTCTCACCCATATGCTTGAAGAGCATGCATGTTGAAGATTTGTTTATTAAACAAATGTTTTATCCTGCCCTTCCTCCAAGGAATTCAGAGTGGCGTACCTGACTTTCCCCCATTTTAACTTCTCAGCAGCCCTGTGTGGTTAGGCTGAGAGAGAAAGAGTGACCCAAAGTCATCAACTGAATAAGTTTCGTGGTAAACAGGGGTTTGAACCTGGACGTTCCAGTCCAACAATAGCACCTCATTGGCTATTCTGAATAGCAAGAATTTCAGCCCATAGAGAAGACCCCAGATTTTGTTTTGTGCTGATGGGAGTAATAAATATGTATATTTTCATGACTGATCTGCAGCAGCAAGATGGAACTCATAGATGACAATACCATAATCCGAGCAAGAGGTTTACCATGGCAGTCATCTGATCAGGATATTGCTAGATTCTTCAAAGGCCTTAACATTGCTAAGTAAGTGAACACCAAATGCCTTATTCTCAAACTATTATTTCTGATAAAATTCTTAATGTTTTTTAAAATCATTTTCTGTTCTTCCAGAAAAGATGGTTAAAAGCAAGCAGGCATCAGAAAAACAAAAATATAGTGTAACTTTCTCTCTAGTAAGCAACTCTGTGTGGATGATGTTTCCAATGTAATTATATTATGAGTGGCCTAAGAATCATGAGAAAACTGATAGCGGAGGAGCATAGCATATAATGCTATTTAGAATTTGCTTTCTTTGGGGGTTACCTGTTCTTCTCTCTGTGGTCCTCCACAAATTGAGGTCTATAGTGCTATTAACAAATGTATGTGTGAGTGGTGCAAAAGTAAAGCCTGTGCCTGGAAGTGAATGAAACAACTAAGAAAGAAAGAATGGGCAGTAGTTTAGAGCTAGAATACTTGAAAGAAGCACTGCAGGTGGTGCAGGAGTAGAGTGCAATAGCTTAGGCGTAAAGTTCGTGGGGGTGGTGAGGCGTCAGCCCTCCCCTGAAATTTTCAGGAAGGGGCTCAGCCTCCTCCGAGGGCAACTGGTTCCAGCCACCCTTTCTCCACCCACCCCATTCTGAAACTATGTTCAGCAGCTGGGTTGGGACTGGGAGGGAGGGAGGGAAGTTAGGGCGGGGACTTGCTTCCTCCTGGAAGTGAAACCCCACCCTCAGCTCCCAGCAGCCCTTAGTTCTGCCGGGCTGCACGTGGAGTCTGGCTTTCCTGGTTTCCTGCGCGCGTGCACAAAGGTAGGAAGCATGCTTGCCTGGGCTCTCCCTTACTGCTGAGTCCTCGAGGCGCATTCGTTCAGCCCACCTCTCTGCCCCCCTCACCCAGCTACCAGTAAAATCAGCACGGACCGGGAGGGGAACTTGGCCCGGCAAACTTGCCCTGCCGAAGG